CCAGCAAAATCTGCCTTTCTTACTATGTACCAGCAAGAATAGTCACTTTTCCAAGCAACTTTCCTGTGTAAAATCAGTTTTCTGTAGAAGTGTCAGCATTATAATATCATGTTCTCATCAGAATCTACAAAGCTATGGGACAATGATGAGAAATCTTCCTTATGCAGGCAAAACCACAAGGGCCACATTCTTCCTATTACTCACTACCTCCTGTTTACCAAAACACAATTGAAAGTCATCTATTTCTCTCAGGAACAGAGAATCATTTGAGTAACTTTTCCCAGACACCCACATTTGAGAGAATGTTTACGACAGGAAGAGCTCACTCTAGCCAGCTCAGTTGCATGCATTTTTATGTCACATATTTAGAGTCATAATATTGAATATTTAGAGTCATGATATCAGATATTTAATGATAGTAATACTTGCGACACAATCCTTTTCATACAAATCCATGTATCATACAGAGCTCAAAAGAGCTCTTCTTCCAAGGTTTCCTGAAACAATAGAGGACACTGTCAACATGGCATTATTTATTTCATGTCCTTTATGTGCATTATACAAATCAATATTTTACCATTTACTCCATATATCCTCAGGAGAAGCCCTTCCAACTGCTTGACAGAAATAACACTGAACCCTGGAAAAAAAATAAACCTTATCCTGTAAGGTCAGACCACTTGTGTCTATTTCTGAAAAGAGACAGAAGAAATCTTTTATAGCAGTATTTTAAAATTTTTATCGTTTGTATTTCAGGAATTTGTGACTTATAATACATTCACCTATCACACACAGGAAATTGGATGAAGTTATTGGCATTTAGACTAATCCAGAGTATTGTAGTACTGTCTTTATTTTTTTTAACAGCAGACTTGCTGTCCAAATAACCTCCATGCTCTGTTACTTCTGCCTGTAGTATCTATCTAAAAAGTAAATTTGAATTAAGGATCATGAACCCACTCCCTTTAAATTGTGTTTCACCTGAACATAGGAGTTCAATTCACAATTATGTGAGACATCAAGCCTACCAATTATGTGCTGTTTATTTAAGCTCACACAGATGAGTCAGAAGTACTCTGCTGCTTTAAAGGCAAAGCATCAATTTGAAACCAAAACTGAGCTAATCCCAGATTTCTGCATCCCTATAAAATACAAGGACAATTCTGCACAGAAATAACATGCCACCATAATCCAGGCCATAACCTCCTTTAACCAGAGCAAAATGAACTACCCTCATCGTTAAAACTGGCTCTGGCTCTGGAGCATGACAGGGGGACTACAGTCATGAAATCAAGTGAAAAGCCCAACCCTGAAGGCAAATGAAAGGCCCATCATTGTTATCCTCAGAGTATAGGCTGTACCATTCACTCTTTATTTAAACCAGCATAAGCTTCAAAATACACAAAGATTTAAACAGACAAAAAAATGAGACTGTGACTTTTTCTGCCTGATGCAAAAGCTGGTGCCACACAATGAGGTGGGAGCTCCTCTAACAGTTCAGGCCTTCCAGGGCAACCAGGACATGTTCACCACCTCCCTCTGTGTCCCCCTGCTTGAACTGCTCCAGGATTAAGTGAAGAGCTTTTCAGGACACATTACAAAGATTTAACAACTCTTTCCCCCTCCTCTTTAAAACCAGGCAACAAATTTAATCCCTCTAAGAAGATGTCTTCAGAAAACAGCCAGAGGGGCCAAGGAGATGCCCTCTAGATGCTTACACTTATACAAGACCTCAAAAATCACTCATGTAAAAATTTTCATCTCTAAAAATTACACAAATAAAATGAGAAGTTCTTCAACAAACAAGATGGTCCAGTACTGTAAATGGTGCTAGTCATACTGCTCACATGCAAGGATTTTATTTCAATACAACTCCAGTTTACATGGGCTTATTTCAAATGTGCAAAAAAAAGAAACAAAAACTTTTTAAAAAACCCCAACTCATACAATTTTTTACATCCCTCCATTTTAAATTCCTATTTGAAAACAGAAATGCTGTGCTGTTCTCTGACAAGGATGTACTACACAAAAACTAAGAAGCTGCTTTTTCATACATTGCAGAGTCCTTTCTCAGGAAGTCTAATGTCAAACAGCATATCACCATAGAAAATATAGCAATTTTCCCCATTTTTTCTGGATAAAAACTATAAATCCTTATTCAGTGCATGAGCCATCTTTTACTCTGTGTAAAATTCAGCTTCTGACACAGCAGTGGTCCAGTTTGGACTGATCATTAGCTAAAACTGTAATACAATAAAAAAATATCACTCATATTAAAGATGCCTCCCATAAATGAAATTAATTGCAATGACAGGATTGGATTTCCTCTAAGTTCTTCATCAGTCAAGGCTAGTTATAAATCATTGTTAATGCAGCTTTTGTGTAAAATAGGAGAGTAAGTGCTTCCTCTCACTAAAGAATTTTGGAGAAATGCTTTCTTTTCTCTAGGGTCCTAATTTCTCTACATACTAGCCACAGCAACAGCTCTGTTTCCTGCAGCTATTTCCCTCTGTCATGGCAGGAAGAGGTAGAACAACATGCCCAAGGACGATGCCGCTGTCTGTTTTGAAATTTCTGCTCAAGGACTGAGAGAGCAGAACACATAAGAGATCAGAATTAATCCAGCAGCTGCCAGGAAGGCTGACAAAGGGCTCTGAGTAACACAGAGCATAGCCACAAAAGAAGCCACCAAAAAAAAAAGCAGGTCTTACAAAAGGAAGAAACAAATGAAGGACAGCCCTAACACCCCACCTGTTGTTCGGAACACAAGTAGCACAAGGAGCAAAAGGGAAGTGCTGAACTACTTGAGCTTTGTGGCATTCAAGGCTTTCCTAGGTGGAAAACCTACCAAGGGGAGAGAATCTACACCTGAGCAGCTAAAGTGAGAATCGAAAAGGGGGCTTAAATTTCAGCAGGAAGCTCACAAAAGCTTTAGAAAGGCAAAAATAACAAAGCATGGCTCTGTAGTAATGCAGAGATGAGGAAAACAGCCGTGACATCCTGTTGGTTAGGAACAGGAGGGGAGAACAGGGAGCTGGGATCTTCTGTTTGCATTTACAGAAAAAAAGGCCAAGGATATCATCAACTCTCACAATTCAAGTCCTGCCAAAAGTGCCAGTGAAATAATCCAAATAGCCTCTGCCACTTGTTACCTTTGTAGCCTAATACAAAGCTATCTTAAGGTAACAAAATCCAGCTTTCAGGGTGCCTAGAGAGCAGACTTTGACAAACCCTGTCATACTTACTGCAAAATCCCTCCATAGAAGGATCAAATGCAGCTGGTTCCTTTGCACTTAACACAGATATTATGTACCTAAATGCATACTTCAAGGCAATTGTTTAAGCACAGTTCTGACACAATCTTAAATAACAGTAATTAAGATACAAATCAGTGAAAGAATTCAGACTGTAAAAAATGTTTTATTTCTACTTGTTTAGATCTGGGAGGAGAAGGAGGCTGTCATGTGCCAGAACTTTGTAAGTGAACAATCTCAAAACCAACCCTAACACTGTTTAAACTAGTTTGCATTTACAATGATGTAACATGAGAAATATTTAATATTAGAAACATAAGTCATTAAAATTAGTCAACAAAATTTTTCCTCTGGGAGTTGGGTATCCCTGACAGACATTGTTTTAAATGCTCCTCTCACACTGTAGTTCTCCAAGTTGGATGTCATCAGAAGTACAAAGATACTACATATGCACTAACAGACCTTACTTTCCATTTAATTAAGAAACCTAATCTATTTTAAAAGCAAATTAACACCAAATCTGGTTAATTCATAGCATGAAAGCACTGTACATCAGTAAATGCTATAAACTAGCAAACAGAAGAAGAACATAAAGTATGCTGTTGTTTTTAAATGCTACTAGTACAGCACAATATTTTTTACAGAGAAGATGACAGTCGTCACTTTTATGTAAATTCTACATGGAAATGAGTGGTAATTTCAAGTAACTGAAAGCAATCTAGGAAATGATCAGGTTTTGAAAATACCCTCATTCCCTCATTCTGAAAACAAACACAAGTGATCTGGCTTCCTTATTACTGAAAGCAGCTGCCAACCTCACTGTACTTTAAAAGGAAACTGCTTTGCAAACACAAAATAAATGGGGAATAAAAAAAAAAGAGGAGAAAATTTAAAAATTAAGATAAATCTACTACTGCAGTTCAAAACCAGAATCCCTAGCTTATGAAATATCTTGTGGGGAATATAGCAAATGCTCAAGACTCAGAGGATTCTACATGAGCATAATAAACTATACCAGTCTAACCTACATTAAAATTATAGCACCAAAGTGAATAAAATAGCAGTAAAGCCACTACAAACAAATGTTATACCTACTCTGCGTATGTCAACACTAACTGGAATATATCCCATTTTTTGCATATTACTAATTTTCAGAACATGACATATGTGCTTTTAGTGGCACAAGATGAAAATCACCCCAGTATCTTGAAGTACCACTTATAGTATTTGAAGAAACTGTTTACATCCAGGCACTGCATGCATTACATGCACAGTCCTAGCTTGAATGCTGAAGGCAAAACAACACAGTGGCTCTAAAGGTAAACAATTATTTTGCTACTTCTAACGCAACTGCATTCTTTATTCTATTGACACAGAAATTCAATAAGCAAGAACTAGAGGACAGGAGCACTCCCCAAAGAACAGAGACCTGCTTAAAAACTACTCGTTTTCCTTGCCCTACCGTCTAGCAGCACTGTTTCTTCAAAAGAGGTCTTCTGTCCTTAACATGGCTGCCATGCCTTACATAACACCAATGAATGAGAAAGTAGTTATTTTGTTTCCTAGGACACACACTGCCCATTAGCCATATGATTCTCCATATGGCACAGCAAACAGTCCAGATAAAGCTCTGCAGTAACACAGCTCCAAAGATCATCATCCTCTGAGAATAACAGCAACAGTAATTCAGACTTCACAAGCTCCAAATTCCCTTTGGTACATATTTCAATAAACAGGCATTCTTACCTTAAGAAAGCAATGCTAATAATTATAGTGATGCTCAGTAGAGCCTCCTCTGTTTCATCTGTGCTCGTAAAAATGAATCTTGGTGCAACTGTCTGCTGCAGCAGGTAATCAATAATAAAACCTGCTTCTTCTGTTGCCAGAGCTGCTCCATCTGAACGCTAGCTAACGTGAACACTGTCAGTGTGAGTCATACCAGTGACTCAGAGCAGATGCAGAGCTGCAGGAGGAGTTTAAGTTTCAAGGCTTCCTCTCGCTCCAGCTCCCGGTCACACAGGCACTCGCTGCCTGCCTGTGTCTGTGTGTGCCTGCAGACTGCCCCCCCAGCTTGTTCTGGCAGCAGAAGTTGGATTTTATCTTCTGCATAATCTTGGAGAGTTGAGCAGTTTCAGTTTGTTTGTTTTAGGGTTTGGGTTTTTCCCCCCAGAATAGCAATTCTGCTTCTTCACTACAAATATATTTATTGGGAATGCAAAGGATTGCTCAGGAGACCAAGTCAATATCATGGTATGGCAGGTGATGCACTACTACAAGATACATGTGGGCTCACATATCTCGTCAAGAATAGGGGCAGAACTCAAAAAAACCAGGAAAGACTGTAAAGTGGAAGTATTGAGTCTGGGCAATATCCACTTATTCATGACAACTTCAGAGCAAAGTGTCTGATTTCATTAAGTACTCTGGGCATGGCAAATTTGGTCTCAAATGCAGGGAGATGAGAGAGCCACAGGAAGGACTGTAAGAAGGGATGCACATGAGCAGAAGTGCTGTGTGCCTGACACCAGTTTAGCAGGGAAAAGAGCCTATAGGAAAAGAGAATAGCTGCATTATAAACTGGAACAGTGCATTTGGGTTTAGGGTTGAGTTCTGGCAGCCACCCCCACATGTATCAATCTCACCAGGCACTGATAATCTAGTCAAAGAAGCATTTTTAACACATATTTATTTCTCAGGCCTGCCAGACTCCCCACCATGAACCAGCAAGAACAGGCACCATGAAGCCAGTTAGGCACTTAATGTTGGACACTTGATATGCACTGCTGTACTGATCCCACTTATTTCTGAAAGGCACATTGTACTAAGCAGTTGCAGTATTAAACAGATTCAGCCTTCAAGAGAGATGAAGCCATCTAGTACTAAGCCATTGGGTTAAGTACATGGAAACAAATTATAGTGGGATGAATCAAGCAAGTATTGTCAAAAGAAGATGCTGGCTGAAGGAACAATGCTACTAAAATGCATAGACCTGCTATACAGCCACTCAGATAAACATCCCAGATAGTCTGGGGAAAAAACACTTGGTTTATGTCAAAGCATTTACAGCTGAACATTTTCCCTCATACTTAGCAAATGTCCAGTTGGCTATCACCCAGCTAAACAGATTTGTGTTGAGATTTCTCATGGAAAGGCTAATATCAAAGCATGACTTTCATGGGTCTGTCTATTTTGTCATTTTAAAGAATTCCTTCTTTTTCAAAGCCCAGTAAAATGAAAGGCCCATTCAAACCAAGTATGTTTGCAGCACTCTTCAGGACTGTATCTGGCTGTTAAAACTGCTGAACAAACTTTGTACTACTGAGGGTGAATGTTTACTCCATGTATCTCAAAGCAGCCAAGAACACTGCCTTGGCAGGGATCAAGAGGTGAGAAGGAATCAAGCTTGGCAAAACAATTCTTGAAGCATGGTCATGGAGACAGTATAAACAAGGGGGATATAGAATAGCTGGTATCTATGAAGACACACAGAATTAAATTCTTTCCCCTAAAATCATTAGTATTCTATCACTTGGAAAATCTTCTGTTGAATCCTATCCTTTCCTGCAATTTACTAATGACAGTGAATATTTGCTCCTGTTAAGATTCCAAGGCTTTATTTTAATGTTTTAAATGCTTGAATAGGCAAGAGAATGCTAAGAACCACAGCATACCAAGGAAAAAATATAAAACACAAAAAACACAATGGCAGCAACAAAAAACCAAACCAAGACCCCTGGGATTTTAGTAAGGAAAACTAACATGGTCCAAATGGTATCTATGACACAGGCAGAGAAGAAGACAAAACTGCATGATACTTTAAGGATGGTAATTTGTTTTCTCCTGAGAGGTGAGGAGTTGTGTTTTTTGTCTCCTTTAATATATATGGCATGAAATTGTATATCTACATTCAATTTTGTGCTGCTGTCCAGCTAAGAAGGAAGATTTGGATCAAAGCTGACTCAAAGAACTGTTAAAGGCCTCAAAGAGATAAAAGCACACCAAGAGTGAGCACCCACTGTGTAAAATGCATGTGCTTGCCTCAGCTGCAAGTGACCTCATCTACAAATCAGATGTGATTTAGCTGCTGTAGGCAGCAGTTTCCTGTTGTTTAATTGATCAGTCTTTTTTGCTGGACCTTCTGCAGTAGAAAGGGGCTGGGTCAGGGATTGAGAAGTGGGAAAACCTGAAGCTTCTTACCCCAACAAAAGTGAATGTACACAGATACGGATGAAATCTTGACCAGAAATGTAGTAGAGCATTCTGAACTAAACACTGCTACAAGAGATTCTGCATTAAGAGACAGTGTAGACTATTATACATTCTTTACAGTCTATGGATAATGTTTTTTCTTTCTTCACCTTTAGGTGACAAGCAAGCAAAGGCTTTTCTATAGTACCTATTCAGCATGGTACCAGGCTCAAGAATCTTGTTCTTCCTTATCACCTCCCTGTCTCTAGGAATTAATTTGTTTGGAATTATTTTAAAAGCCATCATTAAGCCAGTGATGGTGGAAATGGTTTCCCACAGCCTATTCCAGATTGTCAGATTTCTTATTGACCTGCTTTCTCATGAAAGCTCAGATTGTCCTTATCGAGAACACGAACCTCTAATCCTGTTTCTGAGCCTCATACTTCTTAGGTTATACTGTCTGGAGGTGGGGAGAAAAAAAAAAAAAAAAAAAAAAAAAAGCATTCATTTTCTTCAAGGACAGACCTGGGTCCTGATGCAGTAAGGCAACTAAACCAGATTGAGGACAACTACCAATATCCACAGTGCCTCCTTCCACCCTCACCCTCCCAGCTTTCCAATCATCTTTTCAACAGCCACACTTTCCGCTGCATCCTAATGTTTTGTAATCTTGTTTTTCTGAGCCCTGTGTAAAGGTAAGAGCTCAGAGACACTAATTTTGAGGAGCACCGACACACATTTTCAAGAGGAAAAGCAGAGCTAATTTCCTGAACAGGCTTATACTCATTTTATCATTGATATAGGCATTAAAATACTTTCCAAAGTACCAGTGAGCAGCCATACATGGAAGTGAGCATCACACACGCACACAGTAGAAGTTCCACCCACTTCAAAAAGAGCATGTATTTTGATAATACATATAGGCAAAAAGTTGGAAACAGAAATATTTTTTTGCATTATCTTACAAACCAGCTGACTGACTTGACACATCCATAGAAAAGAAAAATGCAGAAACTAGATCTCAGAGTCTTGCTTATTAGACTATCAGACTTCCCTTTTGGTGCATCTCACTAGCAGGTTCCTTTCTTCCACCTAATTACCTTTCATGGGTATTTTGATATGCCATGACAAAAGCACTGTTTGTTTCTCAGGAAAATTAAGTCTCCTGCTGGGAAAAGTGTCAGAACCAGAATCATTACCCTGGACACACAATGAACAGAGGAAGCCACACATGAAAGCAGAACTTTAGTGATTGGGTATGGGGTGCAGGGAAGAGGATGATGCACTTATCAAAATTATCTCAAGGTTTCTGAAGATAAATAACAGGACACACTGTAGCAGTTGAACTTTTTACCTTCACTACATCATCCACCACTCAGTAGTATCTTGCAGACCTCTCTAAAAAGCTGTTAGCAAAGCAACTCACAAGAGGCTGTAGGAAATAATTTCCTCCACTCAAGTACATCTCTTCACTGGGACCACCTCCTGAAGCTACTGCTATAACCGTGACCCACATAAAATATATTTTTTATGACTCCCTAACAATCCAAAGCTACATAGACTGCAATAGGAAGATACAACTAAGTTACAAGCTGTCAGTAACACACTGCATGCAGATCTCAGAGGGAAGTACTTCTGCAAATCCAATGAAAATGCAAAAGACAACCTAAATGCCCATTTCCTCTTAATTGTCTTTTCCCACCAGATGAAATAACAATCTGCAGAGACTAAGATCAGAGAAATCAGCCAAAACAAGGACACTATATCTCATAGCAACAAAGATGTACTGACCAGATGAGAGACTGGTTTTCAGACACTGCTGTGGCTCCTGCATATACAGACAATGATACATTGCTCAAGCTTGCTTGGGTAAGGAGGACTCTCCAGATTGCTCTTGATGTCAGCATAGTGTCAGCTGATCTTTTGGCAGCCAGCCTGCTCACATCTATCCACTTCTGCTCTCTTTTTCTCTCTAATGCTAACATCTGCCCATGTTTTGCACTGACGGAAAAGGTCAGCAAGACCCTAATGACACATTAAACCTGATAATCAAGCAATGCACCATTTGCAGTTACTGTGTGCCCACTCTCATTCCCCTGATATTCAGAACTCAGTTTCTTCCTAAAAAATCCCAACATAAGGCAAGCGCAGAAGAATCCATAATCTCAAATCTTCCATACGTGTCATAAATTCACTCTGGATAACAGAGAAAGTAAGTCAGAACACGCCCAGTCTCCCCAGGCTTCCAACAACATTAAAATTTGTTGTATCAATACAGCCACAAATTCCTTATTCCAAACAATCTTTATTTTTCTGTACAAAGCACAACTACCCCTCTGCTGCAAATCAGCATGCTCATTTCCTGTACCCATACAGTCACTTCAATTGAATATTGACCTTTGAATCCTAAGAAAAAAGACATCAAAACAAAACCAGGCTTAAACTCATTTTGAGGCAAATTTGACTTGAACATCACAGTTCTTCACCTTGTCTAACAAAATTCTATACTCTGATGGACATTCTCTAAATCCACTCACTTTGTTCATTCAATATACTCTAAACATTTTCAAACTGAAGTTTTTCCTGTTGTCTCCACGATGCAGGACTCGCCGATCTCATGCTGGTGACCCATGACTGGTAGATTCTTCAAATGCCTCAGAAAGAACAATTGTCAGTGCTGGAGAAAGTGGATGCAAAGACTTATTGCTTTCTCAGTACCATCTGCTGCACTGGGGAAAACAAATCAAAGCCCTGTACGACTGAGTGCAAAGCTAGACATTTTTTATGACTATTCCTGCAGTATTTGTTATAAAATTTACTCCCCATTTCACAAAGAAAAAGCAGCT